AATATTGATTTTATATGATTAATGGAATATTTATATTATTAATAGAATATTGATTTATGCATAGACATTTTTTATTATCAAAAACGTACTTAAGATTAATTTGAAATAAGAAAACGTATAATAATCTCGTATCGTAATCTTATAATAAACATAAAGACTGATGTTGAATTTACAAAATTTTTTGTATTGTTTCGCGGTATAATTGTAGGAAATAGGTTTAATACGTTCAATATAACTGTGTCGATTTAATTCTTAATAATTGCACAATTGACTTGTTACTCTGTTGTAAATAATAGAATTAAGTTATATAGTTTAAATTTATATATCATACAAGTGTCTGAAAAGTCACATAAAGAATCTAACAAGAATCCTATTTTTCTAAAGAAGTTTATTAAAATCTTACGAAAAACATCTGAGATTTTCTCAATTTTTCATATATTTTTTGTTTAAAATTTCAGGTAAGATTAAAAATTTGTTTAAAAGCAATTTTTAAGTAAATTGAAATACAAACAATATAAATAAACTATGTATTGAAAATTAATAAAAATAGGAATTTCACAAGACTATCTGCCATTTTTTATAATTAAAGCCGTGAAATCTATAGGATAGTAAGAAAAAAATTCATTACAACATAAGGTATTTATCGAAATCTTGTGAAAAGTTACCTGAGTATTCCCGGAGCTTCTAGATAGTTAGAATCAAAATTCCAGATAAGATTAGAGAATCTTTTGAAGCAACTTTAAAATAAAGGAGTGAAATTGGAATGCGAGCAACGCTAATAAAATATATATTGAAAATTATTAAAAGACAGGGATTTTTTTATAATAGATACAATTTTGACTGTATCTATCATTTTCTGTGATTGTAAAGCAAAACTAGGATAGTATAGGGAAGACGCACTATAATGTAATATCAGTGAACTATTCTATTCTGCTGAGTTTTCTACTGTCACCCTGATTTTTTTAAATAAAAACTTGCGAAACATACGGTAATATACATGAATATGCACGGATGTCTACACTATACTTATTGTTAATTGATTATACGTTTTGTATTATTAAGAAAAAATGATGAAAGTATTTTCAGAAACGGACAGAAATTAAATTTAAAAATAAACTTCCTAAAATTTTTTATTCGAACCTTTTAACAAATAACGGAAATTATTTATCGCGATCCATATCGTTTTGTTTATTGTTTACTCGAAAATTGAGACATATAATTCCAGATTGTTATCAAATAGGGATGAATTGCGTAATATTTGTAATATCTAATAATATATAAGATATCGGCAACAGGTATTATTTTATTAGTGAAATATATGATGGAAAATACAATCTAATGAAATATAAGTAACTAAGAATACTGTAGCTTATTTAAATAATCCTAAAAAATTTAAATACTTTAAATATTGTCTGTACACTCTTATTCTCCGTTATGATAACTGAAATTTCTGCACTTTCTTATGTGAAGGACACTTATACGAATATCAGAGAAGGGAACGGACTTCAAGTGGTATTTCTCAAAACAACATTCTCCATATATATAGTCTGTAACGAACGCATCCTGTACGCATAACGGTTGATGCGGCTGAAAAGTACGGATGTGGAGCGAGTAACAGCGGTGCCTAACGGTGATCGGTTTGGACTGCAATGTCTTAGAAACGTGAATTTCGTTGCAACTTGAACTTAAAGTTGGTTCGATTCATGAATATTCGTACCGTGACGAGAATATTAAATATATGATTGTTAACTAACGACTTCGTGTAATAATGTTATTTGAAATAACATTGATTTGTGCTTCTGTTGTGCTCAGCATTGTTTTTTATTATAAAACGTGCTTGTTCTGCAACTTAAAATATTATTATCTTGGATTAAAGTATCATGGTCACGATATATTCAACGCCAGATACAATAAAATAGGTAAGAAAAAAAAGAAGATATAAATTTTACATATTTTTACACATATATTGCATCATATAAAACACTTTCTGTACGGAAATATTGAATGTTTTAAATGATGCAATACATATATGTAAGTTTTTGATGAAGACAAATTATAACTTTTCAAAATTTTATTTGTATATCCCAGAAAAGGGATATACAAATAAAATTTTTAGCGATATTGCAGTAGAAATTAAATAATAAATAAATGAATACGACATTATGTATACAAATATTTATGTATTAAATATTTTATTTTTATTTTATTTTGTATATAAATTGGAATCACAAATTCTGAAGACATTGATATTATTGTAAATTATTGCAACTGAAAATATTTTGGTGGCAGTTGCAGCTTTTATTGTGCAAAATTATATTAACACATAAAATTCTTCGTTCCCTTATAATCAGGAAAATATGAAAATTATTTGGAAATAAAAATAAAATCTTTTACAATTGAATGATATTTAATAATATAACATTTAATTCTTTATGACGTGCTTTTTCAAAATTCGTTATTTATAGAATATGATTAATGAAGCATAATTTTTAATATTACATAATTATAATGTTTGTATTATTTTGTTCATATTCTTTTTTAGATTTATTTCCAAAGCCGAATAGAATTGCAATTGTAACTGGTGGTTCTAGAGGTATAGGAGCAAAAATAGTTAAGCAATTGTTACAATGTGACATGGAAGTTATAATCGGTAAATTATTTAAGTCATTGTCGATGTAGTATTCTATAACACTATAACATGTCAATACATGGAAATATGATTAGCTTGTAGAGTAATTAGCGCGGGTGAAAATATTATCCACCAGATTAGAGAATCTGGTGTCACTAGTGGACGAGCAAAAGTTTATAACCTTGACAATTCCTCTCTCGAATCAGTGAAAAAATTTGCAAAGCAAATAAAAGCGGATTATGATAAAATTCATATATTAATTAATAATGGTAAGTGATTGGACATTTCAACTCTATCCTGATATAGTAGAATGTTGCATGTAAAAAAGATCATTTTTTTAGCTGCTGTTATGTTTTCTACCTATAAAAATACAGAAGACGGATACGAAGAACAATGGATGGTAAACTATTTATCACATTTTTTACTAACGTCTCTTCTTCTGCCATTATTAAAAACTGGCGGACATCCGGAAGATTGTAGTAGAATTGTTAATGTTACTTCATGTGCTCATGACGTCAGCACCATAAATTTTGACTACATCAATAATTTCGACAAGTAATCATAAAAATATTATTAAGCTATCTTTTTTCATTTATTTTCAATGACGAATTTACGATTATTCGCTAATTAATGTATGACATGGGAATTTTCTTAGAACTTAAACAATTATTTTATTATGCAGGGAAATAATTTGCAGGCATGATTCATATGGACAAAGTAAATTAGCACAGACAATGTCTACGATAACATTGCAGAAACTCTTTAAAGACAAATCGTTGAATATATTAGTATATTCCGTGCATCCAGGCATAGTGAAAACAGATTTATTCAAAGAAACTGTATTAGCCTGGAACAAATGGCTTATGGCTGCATGGAAGGTAACAATATATCAAATTTGTCAAAGTCTCCAAACTATTATCAATCAATTCACTGTTATTTTACTGCCACAGACAGCTGATGATGGAGCAACTACAGTAACGTATGCTGCAATTAGCAAAGATCTTGAAAAAAAAGGTGGAATATATACTAGTAATTGTAAAGAAATGGCTGTTCCTTCGTTAGCACTCGAAGAGGAAGTTCGGGAACGATTATTTAAATTGTCCTTAAAACAAACACATTTAGAAAATTTTTTCCAATATTTGTAACAAAAATATACACAGTATTTCTTATTCCATGTCTTATTAAATAATTCATGCATCATTGAATGTATCGGGCACATTTATTTCAATAAATTTATATTAAAAATTAATATTTTTTTACATTTGAAACACTCATGCGATGCGACTATTCTAATTCTAACTGCAAGAAAATGCAAATAACCGATTACACACGCAACATCATTGAAATGTATGAAAATATTGAAAAAGATGACAGACGATAAACTTTAGAAAGACGTAAAAGAATCCTTTTAGTTAAATCATTCTTTACTGAAATAATACACACACGCGCGCACACACACACATACACACACACATATTGAAATAAGTTTTTTTTGACATGCAAATATTCCTACTCTATAATGTTACGAATAGATGTTATTGTAATTATTGTTGGATGTACTTTACATAAATAAATATTAAGCACATTTTTTTTTTAAATAACATATGCAACACTTCCTTTTTCATAATATCGATTTTTTTTTCTCGTTTGTGTTATAAATAATTGTTTATCGCGGAGATCATATATTTTAGCAATCTAGCAAGTTATAATTTATGATATTAAGAAATAGTAATTCTATTCAAGTTCGGATTTAAGGATGAATTAATATACAGGGTATTTCCAAATTCGCGCCCACAAAGTGCAAAATTTTATGTTAAAACAAACAACTTTTTCCTTTAACAAAATTGCGTCCGATAAATAATTTTTGCGTTTATTTGTTAACTTTAACCTACTCTCCTGCAAAAACTACTTATCGAACGCAATTTTGCTAAAGGACAAAGTTGTTTTGTATGCTAAAACAAACAACTTTTTCCTGTAGTAAAATCACATTCAATAAATAATTTTATTCATATAACTTCAATCTACTCTTCTGCAAAAACTACTTGTCAGACGCAATTTTGCAAAAGGAAAAAGTTATTTCTTTTAGCATAAAGTATCACGTCTTGTACTTTGTCGGTACGAATTTTGAAACACCCTTATAAAAAAAAGTTTCGCTTTTACGCAGAAAAATTTCACTTTAGATGTCTAAAATGATGCACAAAAGAAACTAACAGTTTCAAGGTCAACAAGAATCTTATTTTAGACAGTGAGAACACAACCAATACAAACTAGAAATTGAATGCCGGCAGTCGAAGCTGGATCTTAAATAATTTGATGTGAATTATATATATATATACTATATATATAT